ATCAAATGAAATACTAGTTCAGCCTCATGTATGATAGCTACAAGAATAAAAAAACCCCAACCCACAGACCTAGTTTCATGGTTGATATTTTAACTGAAGAATGTGCAAAGTTGAAGACCGTAGGAAAAGGGTCCTCTATACTTGTTGCTGCAAAGCATAGCATGTTTTTATAATTAAGTCATTATCAACTGGCCAGGAAACACCAAATTGGGGGTAACTATCAAGCTGGGTTCCCCAGGTGTCTGTCCTAGGTCAGTATTGTTCCATATTTTCATTAGTGAGATAGATTAGGTAACTGAGTCTAAATGTAGTAAATATACAAATAACAAAGCTCAATAGGATTGCAGGTATCTTAGAGGACAAAGTTAGGATTCAAAATGACCTTGATTAACTGGGAAAAGTCTCTGAAACAAATAAGATAAAATTAAATAAAGAGAAGCACAAAGTGCTACACACAGAAAGGAACAATCAAATACAAAAATACTAAATGAGGACTGACTAGCTGGAAGCAGCAGTACTGCGGAAAAAGATCTGAGGGGTTCCAGTGGGTCACAAGCTGAATATGAGTCAATGTTTATAGCATGCAACAATGCTAACAGCATACTGGGTTGGGAAGCAGAATGTTATGTGCAAGATGCACAAAACGATTCTTCCACTCTACTGAGCACTAGTGAGGCACCAGTTTGGGACACCACACTTTTCTTAAAAAAAAAAAGACATGGACAACTTAGAAAGGATTCAGAAAAGAACAAAAAAAAGTTTAGAGTGAAAAAATGTGATGTATGAAGAATGGCTGGAAGTATTGTGACTATATACCCTAGAGAAGATAAGACTGATGGGAGATTTGGAGACAATTTTCAAACTCAGAAAACACTGAGAGTAGAGTAGAGTATGGTGATCAATTGCTCTCTGTTTCCAAAGGGGTCAAGACAAGAATTAATAGGCTTAAATTCCACAGGGAGATTGGATATTAGAAAAAAAATCCTAATTATGAAGGTGATTAGACATAGGAACAGATAACCTACAGAGGTCATGGAACGGCTGTCATTGATGTTTTTAAGTGTAGGTTAAACAAACTTTTGCATAGGATGTTCAGTCAGGGCTGATTCTGTTTTGAGCAAGTAGTTGGACTAGACAACCTCTTGAAGTCTTTTCTAGCCCTGTTTTAATGATTATAGGATTCTATGTTTCTGTCTTTCTTTCCAGTCAGGTCTTGCAATAATTTCAGGGGTGAGAGAAATGTTTGTTTACTGCTCCTAGTCCCTGTTTGTTCCAGCATAGCTGATGATTTTCTGCACTTTGAACCTGTAAAAAGGCAAACTGAGATGGAAGTCTCCTGATTAGAAAATACATACTTTTAAAATGTCGTAAGTGGAGCTTTTCTGAAATTAGTCCTCCTCCAAAAAATACTGCCTTCCATTATACTCTCCTGCCTCTTCTCACCCATCAAACATAATTAAACAAGGAACAACAACGAGTATACTAAATCATTTTAAAAAATGGGAATGGGCATGAGAATCAGTCAAGCAGAATTTCCAAAAAACAAGGGTGTTCACCCCTTGATTTCTGGTGTTGCTTTACTCTGTAACACAAGGAAAACCTGGTCCACATCTGCTAAAAAACTGTTATATTACTCACCCTAAGATAGAGATGCTCAAGCCAGCTTGTCATCTCCAGACACAGACAAAAGAGGGAATTTGAAAAGACTTCAAAGCAGCCTCTTTTGTCTAGGGTAAAACTTACTGGCCAAAATCATTCTGGCCACTGAAAGGTATAAAGTTAAAAAAAAGAAAAAGATATTTCAAATTACTGGGTGTGGCAAACAACTGATAAACCCTGTATGATGTTTTTGACTTCTACTGACTGCAATTCTGAGTTCTTTAAAGGGACACATGACAATCATTTTGGCATTACCTTTACAGAGAACTGTTACTTATTTAAAATGGATCCTGCTGCAAAACATGACCTAATCTTTACAGAAGCCATGTGTAATTTATGTTTCAAATACCTAGATAACTCAACTCACTGAGTCAACAGCAATCAGAAACAGGAAAGCTCCTAGCCATCTCCGAAGAGGATTTACTTAACCCTAGGAACAAAAGCAAATTTGAAAAGTGTCCAGTGACTAACTGTGATAGCAATGTTGCTTCTCACCCTAGTCCACTGGGCTAGGGACAGATATTTAAAAAGCCAGAGCCTGAATTGATTCAATCTTTATAGGTTAGTCTAACCTGGCTAGGCTAAATCACTTTGTAACTGCGCAGACATCCTGGACATGCAGGCACATGCCTGCAGTGGCTCAGGCTAGAAGTTGGGGGACACTATAGCAGCCCCCCTTTGCTACCATAGAGCTGAGCTGAGGAGGGGCGTGGCCAGGCCCGGGCAGAACGCTCTGATTAGATCAGCAGGGAATTGATAACAAGTGTTTATCATCCCTAGCTCAGTGTTTATTACCCAATTAAGACAGCAACAGAGGGACATTACCAGACACCTCTCATCAAGGCAGAGGGGAGGAGGGAATTCCTACTTAGCAGGGAGTGGCGAGGGGAAGGGTGGGGAGCAGCCCTCAGTCTTGCCAGAGCTGCAGCCAGGGAGCAGAGGGGAGGGGTCAGCCCTGCTGTGGAGCAGACAGCCCCACCCAGCCCAGAGAGCATGCTGGGATGCTGGGGGAATCAGGTTTATCTTAAACCAGCAAGGGATCTGAGACAGACATTGCATAAACTGGTTTGACCCAAATCAGTTAAGTCTGATACTACATTTAACCAGGTTTATTTTAAACCAGTTTCAGCCATTTTCAAACTGGTTTATGTGCACAGAACATCTGTTCTGTTACAGGTTTAAATCAGTTTCCGATCACTTAAGCCGGTTTTGTGTAATGTCTGTCCCTAGCCCTGGAGAGATCATCATAATAGCTTTCTAAGGCATAAAAGACTTCAAGATTCTCTGCAGCTTCGTGTATTAAATGAAAGGATTTTTTTCTAGAAGAAGCTGATCATAGCATCATCATGCTTGAAGGTTCTCTCTCACATGTTCTAAGTAAGTAGAATTCTCCAGGTAGTTACATTAAAGCATTGCCTCATAATACTATTTTTTTTCCCCAACAGGAGGGGTGTTTTACAATGATCTTATGAAAAAGGTACATTTAAAGTCACCAGGTGTTTAAGACTTTGAATGGGTCCCTCAGCTCCTCCACTCCCCTATAAAATAGGATTTCTTCATACTACAGTTGTTACATGATCAAGAGGGCTCAGATAAAGGAGCCATAACAGATAAACACATGCATACACACCACCTCAAGTTTTGGGCCATTGGAAAAGAGAATCATTTTGGAACAGGCTCCCCCAAGAAGTGGTACAGTAACCCACCCTGACAATCTTCAAAAAGCATCTTGACGCCCATTTTGCTGGGGTCATCTGATCCCAGTAGTTTTTCTTGCCCAAGTGCAGAGGGGCTGGACCCGATGATCTATAAGGTCCCTTCCAGTCCCTAACAACTATGGAACTCACAGCTTACTCTCTCAAATCCTGAGAGCTCACACCACTCTGCAGTAGAGGGGACAACCCTCCCCTGATGTTGTAAAGTGATCTCCTGTCTCACCTGTATTTATTCCTTTATGAACAAGAGGCAAGGTTTGTATTCTGCACCAATAGGAAAGAGGGATATGAAAATGTGTTTCATTGGACTTAAAAGAACTCAAGCCCCACATTACACACAGGGAGTTTTAGAGGAAAATATAGCACAGTGTTGAAAGATATGCAAACCAAATTTAAATTGGGAAACTTTCATGACACTGAGCTGCAATTGCAATTTTCACCTGCACGGGGTGCATTTCTGTTTCTTAACTAGGTGAACACCTGGTACAAATACTGGATTGGTCGAGTTTAGCTTTGGCCCACCTAAGGAGAGTGCTGGTGAAAAGGGACAGAACAGATAATTTTAGATTATTTCTCTGCTCCTCCTGTTCTGAAGTGGGGAGGGGGATGGGATTAAAATGGCCCCCAACAACTACTGTCTGCAATAGTCCCATAGGAACCATTGTGCCCATCCAGGATCAATGGAGTGTCATACCTTCTGCCTTTTGCCTCCCTGCCTTCAACTGGAGTTGGGGAGCAAGTAATATATGGCCAGCTAAGCCTACCCCGTGCTATCCAAGTATTTATCCCAGACTCCTCTGTGTGCACCATAGGGGCCGCTGTGTATCTCACATATGTGGGAAATTAAGCTGAGAATCTCACCCTTAATGTTTCACTTCTGTGAATATCTGAGCACGTGAGTTTGAAATTCACTGCACACCAATGCTTGTATCTGTAACACTCAACAGCTCAAATGCTGATGGAACACAAACATGGTTGTGAGCATTTATTTAAAAATCATCATGCAAAATTCACAGAAAGGATTTTACATGTATTCTACTGCTGAAAATTATCACTAGTTTCATTCCTCTCCTTCTACACATCTGCCAATTCTTTAAAGTAAATATTGGGGTCTCCCTTTCCTTATAAGATCAGCATAAATTTGTGATTAATCCCCTTTCAACTTTATCTTCAGTAAATTAAATCAGTCCTATTGATGCACAGCAAAAAGTCTGTCAGGGCAGCTGTCCTCTCCTCCCAGAGGTAGTTACAGTTAAGGCACATTGGTGAGAAAATATGAAGTGTCTGCGGTGCTTCTCCAGCTGCACCTGTTGTGGATTATTAAAGTCTTCATTCTCTAGAGCAATCAACCGGCAGATTTCATGAGCACTAAATTCATTTTAAAGAAGAAATATGAATGAGATTTTACACTAGCAAAGATATAAAAAGGGCAGTCATACTGACACACTCTTAAATGCCTTTAATCTGCCCAGTAATCGTTCTGCATGAAGAAGCAACTTTCTTCAAGTGATATGGCTGGATTTAGGGAACGAATTGTTTGTTCTAACACTATTTAAATGATTTATTTCTCATTTTTATATATTTATAAATCAAGGCACAGAGAGCATTCAAAGGTGCTATACTCACATCATTGGGAATGGTGAGTTCATGAGTACTGGCCGGGGGACTGGCATCCAAACCTGAGCATATGCAAGGGAAAATGGTTATAGCTTGCAAACAAAAAGCTATGCATTTCCTGATTTTTACCAAAATAGCAGACATTACAAATGTTGTGCACTGCTTCAGGGCCAGGAGGGGAAGGGGACAACACATTCTGGTATAATGACAAGGAACACGATTACTAATCTCTCTCCTACAGCGTTACCTGGTCTGCTGAAATCCCTAACCCTTCCAGATGAACTTCACAGCTTCCAAACTAAGCATCAGGGACTAGAAGTGCCTTCCCAGTGCTTTGTCTTTCTTCCAGGAATTAAAAGGTAAAAGCTCCTCACTATTAGCACCTGGTTCATACTTCCCTCCCTCAAATATAAAATGCAAAATGGTTCGAGATTAGCGTAAGACAAAGTGCAAAATTATAAAACCACCTGAGTAATGTCCAGGTAGACTAAATAAGCAACATTGTGTGCTCTGCTGCAAGTCTACCAATGAAAAATAATGTATGCCTTTTATGCAAGGAAGTTTGTAAGCAAATGCCAGCAAGTGAGAAATCCTATTAGAAAGAAGAAACCCAGTATAATAGAAATGCTTCATCATGACTCTGTCTTCAAGGGGTAAGAAGTATACACCCTACAAAACTCTCCAGTCCAGAACTGTCAAAGATATGACCCATCCTCCAGAACATGGTGCTGCCCTTAGGTCTGAATTGACCTGTACTCCACAAACAGCAACTGCCCCTGCTTGCCTGGGACCCATGCTGCACACAGCCCTGCCCTGGCCAGTCCAGGGCAGGCACCATATGCAGTGTGGCTCCTGGAGAAGTTGCCATGTGTAGAGAGGGAGTCCATAGGCCTGATACAGCTTGCAGGACCAGCCCTGTACCAGTCCTTTTGCCCATGGACTAGCTCCACACCACTCATCTGGTCTGCAGGGGTCAGATGATTTTACACCCCTGTTCTAGTCATATCAATGCAAAAGAATTAATTTAAGATAACAGACAAGGAGAGGAGATGTAGCAGATAAATTAAGAATGGACTTTCTTAGGACAAGTGGAAGTGCTGCATCACAACAATAATGTATTTCTATAGGCCCTTCTGGCAGGTCTCTTCACCAAGGGCTTACTAATGTATGAAAATGGAGTATGAGGCCACCCTGACTCAGTAGTACACACTGTGAGTGGAAGTCCTTGATGTTATCCTTTTTCATGTTCTGTAATATAACTCTGGGAGTCAAAGCACCATAGGTTTACATACAGCAATAAATCTAAGACAAAGTACAGCACACTCACTGACTAACATAATTCAACACCCATCAGACCTTACTCCACAGGAAAAGCACAATAAAATAAGGCTCAGTTTTAGAGCCTGCATGCTTGCAAAACCACATAGAAACACACTGTATCTAGTGACCAATATGTATAGAGACATATATTTCCTTTCAGTTTCTCCAAAAAGATACAGGACACTTCCATCAATATGGGAAGCAGTGGAGTGAATCTATATAGCCTGTAACTAAGCAGCATCTCATAATATTCTTGGTATAAGACCAAGCAATATGTCATGATTAGCTTCTTTAAATGAAATGACTACATCTTCACTCAAGGCAGAGATAATTACTTTTATATCCTTATTTGCTGTACAAGGAGAGCAAAGCTGTCTGGTGGCCAGCACGAATTTACACTTATTTACAACACTTTTAATTAAGATATATAATAAACAATAAGGGAAGGGATTTAAGGTAAAGAATATAAATATCTTAAAAATGAACCTAAGTGGGTGTATGTGTAGAGAAAGAGGGGATTCACAGGTTTGGAAAAAAAGAATAGGGAAAATGGAACTGAGATGAAACAAAAAAGGTGTATAATATAAAGCCAGGTGGCCTTCTCCTGTTCTGAAAATGCTTCCTGCTTTACCATTTTACCCAATTAGCAGAGATAAAGCCAGTTACTTATTACGTTGCTATGAATAACACAGCAGCAATATTGAATTCTGTTGTGCAATTCACAGCATGGAATCACCCCATAAATGCCATGGGATAGTTTGCAGTTACTCTAATAAGCATATAAAAATTATGCAGGTAATGATCTAGTTTTGCCATTTTTTATTTCCATCAAGATTTTCTGTACCTCTAAAGAGAACCTCCTTCTAGTTTTGTTGATAACAATAAAACGTATTTAGAAAATGAATGAGCCAATAAGCTACATCTCTGGTCGTAGTATTTATTTAAGTGAGAATTTAAACTAGAACAGCAGGAGCTTTTGGCATTAAGTTTATAACTGCAAATGACACTGAGCTAATGATAGAATGAAGAGTAATTATATGTAATTTTTTTGTCAATGTAACATATCACCATTTTCTTTAGCATGCTGAAGCTGATGTGATGAAAAGTACTTTTCACCAAGACTGAGAACTCTGGATAAGCGTCTACTTAAATCATGGTTAGATTTACCAGTTTCTACAGGTTAATCATGAGCAAATTCCATGGACATTTCACAGATGTACTCAGGTGGCCCTGCCTCTCGGCACTGATTGGCAGAGAGGCCCTGGGGGGGAGGAAGGACAAGGGGGCAGCTGTTATTTTTTCTATTGCCCTTCTTATCATCCTGCCAGCCAGTGCCTTCCACTCCTGGGTGTCTGTGAAGCTGGGCCACAGCAGCAGTGAGGACTGTTGGCTCCCAGTGAAGTCAGCATTTTATTTTTTTAAAGTTTTTTTTGTTGATTCCATGGACAATGCCAGATTTCACAGTTTCTGTGAAATCTTTTAAACAGCAATTTAAGTAAACCCTCATCTGTGAACTGTAAAGCATATTTTGAAAGAAAGCTTCACATTTAAAGAGGCTTTCTGGAACCCACTTTGGGAAATTATATCTATTATATATTAGACCAGACCTCTCTAATATATATGTATTATATATAATGCTTTCAATACGTTCTTGAATTTAGCCTCATAATTAGGGGTGTGGGAAACAGGCCGAATTTGATTCAGATTCAGCCCGAATCAGGGACAGTGATTCGATTAGCTGATTTGGATCACTGTCCCGATTCGATTTACCCAAATCCGAATCCGAAGATTCAATGCTGATTCAAAGTATCAGCAATTCAGCCATAAACAGCTTTACATGTTTTTTCTACATACCTCGAGGTACCAGGCATGGCTCGTGAACGCTACAATGGTGGAGCAGACGGAGGATCCCACAGGAACAATTAACTTCCGGTCCACTTCCGGGTCCACCATCAAGCACGTGGGGAACTCCCCTGCGCCCCGCCCCAGCTCAGCAATCAGCCACAGGGGGACCCTGGGTTCCCCCCCAGACCCAGGAGGCACCAGTCACTGAGCCGGTGGGTGGGAGGGCGTTCCGTGCACGCTCCCAGGCAGACCCAGAAGTGGACCGGAAGTGCTTCTGGTCCACTTCTAGGTCCACTGCCAAGAGTGCTGGGGATCCTGTGGGACACTCCATCTGTCCTAGTATCTCAGCATTCACGAACTGCCTCCTAACTTGAGGTATGTAAAAAAACACTTAAAACTGTGTCTACGTCCGAATCATCAAATCTTTCCAAATTGATTCAGAGGGTTCCAATTCAATTCAGAGAGATTAAAGGGTCTCCTGATTTGATTTGGATTCATAACTCAGTCGCTGAATCGGGCTGAATCTCCACTGAATCAAATCAGTGACTGAAGCTTCACACAGCCCTACTCATAATCATCCTAGTACTGTAACTGAATATTACATTTCTACCAGGAGACAGCCTTCTGTTCCAGGACAAGCCCATTATCTCATGTGCATCTGTAAGGATGAAGTTATACATTACACTTAAACCACATGAAATCTGTGGAATGTTAAGTGCTGTTAAATTTGTAATGTGCTGTGGGCAGTCATACATTAATGGTTAATACCATTTCTTCCCTGCACAGCTCTGACCTGCCACTAGAGGTCTGGCGAGCAAGGGCATCGTTAGGAGCCAGGACACCTTTGCTCTATCCCTGCTCTGGGCAGGTGGAGCAGTGCATCCTGGGATGCTGGTGAACTGCAAATTGCTCATTTTATTTCTGTGGAGCAGACTGAAGCTACCTAACACGAGCTAGGTAGCATGGCCCAGTGTTAACCCTTGCCTGAAGTGGCATAACTTTGAGATGCTCAGAGGAAACTCAGCACAAGTTAACAAGCTTAATGTTTAGATGCTTACATTTTAAGTGCCCTTAGTATAGTCTACGTGTAATGTGCAACTTCACCCTAAGTTAATTGCAGGTCATAGGGACAAGACTTTCAGGCTGTGTATTTTTGCTGGCCACATACTGGCAAAGGAGCTGCAATGCAGCTTGGAGGGGCTGTATGTGTAAATGGCTGTGCTGCTCCTGTTTTGATGTGGGTCAAAATCTGGGACAACCAGAACTGCATCAAATGAGATATTTATTTACAGTCTATGTTGCTAGATAAGAAGTAGACCTAGCTAAGAGAGGAAGAAACTGAAGGAACAAAAAAATGAAGTCACAATCCAAACCTGGCCGCTCAGAATTAGGTGCTTAGACCTATATTAACATACCCAAATTTTCAGATTTTCAGACTCACCAAGTTATTATTGGGATCTGCTCAGAATCTCTGAAAGCAGCCCACTTATTTAAACATGTAAATATAGATTCAAACCCATGCTCTTAGACATCCAAATTAGAGTGTTTTGGCCTAAATTACTTGCCCAAATCACAAAGGAAAGGAAATGAAGTATAAATAAAAGCCAGGTCCTCCAATGACCACACCTTCCTTATTCCTATCATACCTTAAGTGAAATACCACAGCAAAATACAGCATAATGAAAGGTCATCTAAGTGTAATACAGGTTTTATAGTACAATTAAGTACAATAAAGAACTCAACTGATTGACAACAGACTCCTACATGCCAAGCTCCAGTGTAAAGCACCTGTCTCATGCAGGTTTCTAGAGTACTACTCTTATTAAAACAGACATTGATTTTTTTAAATACTTCCTACTTTCACTAATAATTGTTTTCTGTGATAACACTTCTACCCCTGAAGTGTTAATAGGAAGAAAAACACAATAAAAGGAGAAACAGTAGCTGATCCTAATATTTGCCCATAGTTAAATGGGACTAAAGGATTCATTTGGTTTTGGATAAATTCTCTCCTATCTGCTGTCTAATCTCCTGAACCTCCAGTTTGCCCCGCTTCTGATCAAATGCTGACAGTAGGGAGGCCTCCTTACTGCTTCTCTCTGGAAGCTATTTATCATTCACTTTAACACTGCCATCTCAAATCCCTCATGTACCTAAAACCTAGAAGGTGTGAGGTGTGTGGGGGGCTCCACACCAGCCATCATTTCAAATTTCCTAGCATTCTGAGATGTTTCTGAGGTGCATCTTGCCCAGTGGATGGAAAACTCCAGACTGCATGATATTTGAATGCTCTGGAGTTTCTCGCAGGAATTATGTCATTCAATTTAGTAACAGCTTAGAATTCTTTAAGGGACATTTTCTGAAGCAAACAATATTAACAACAATCACAGTCAGCTCCTTGAATATTAGGATGGGTGTTCTTGGCTAAATGAAAAGGCATGGCCAGCTGCTATAAACCAGTATATTTGTGTTGTGTTTAAGGGCCTATGCTTCTTTACACCAGCTGAGAAGCTAAGTGTATGTCACACCTAATACTACTGTGACCTCAGTCCTAATGTATGCAAAAGGAAACAAGTAAACTTTAGTTCAGTTAAATTCTCCCCTTAATTCTCCCCACATACATGTAACTACAATTGATTTTAATAGAAGGATTAGGCAGTTTCCATTTCCATAGTCTAAACTTGCCTTTTTGGTTAAATGTTATTAGATGTATATATATATATATATATGTATATATGTGATTTCATATAAGCTATCTTGATATGTGTACTTCATGTATATGTATACACATTAGGTTCAAATCCTTAGCTCACATGGAAGACATGGCTTCAGTGACTTCACTAGAGCTAAACTTATTTACAACTGATGAGGATTGAGCCCATTAAACATAAGCATAGTATTGTATCGCAAAAAGCAGGATAGAGACGCACCTTATAAACTAATGAATCAGACATGTATAAGCTTTTGTGAACAAGAACTCACTAAATCATCTGATGACGTGAGTTCTTGCTCACAAAAGCTTACACGTCCACATGGGCAGATATAGGATTTCCTCAAGGGGGTGTGGCCCACTGTCCCTCAGTCCTCCAGGATGGAGGCGAGGCATGGCTGGAGCCCGCAGGTCAGCAGTAGACGCCAGAAAGCTAGGCAGAGAGCAGCAAATCAACAGTGAAGGGGAGGGGGGCAGGTATCTGGGGAAGGGGAGGGAGAAGCCAGAGCCACTCCTGCTCTGCTTCAGCTAGTGGCTGTGAGGAACAGGTGCATAGCGTGCTGGGCTCTACCAGCTAAACCAGTGACAGTATGCAGATTCCACCTACCAGCCTCCGCTCCCGGCTTTCCTTCTACACTTCCCTCCATGTCCTGTGCTGGCAGGAGAAATCTGTGCACCACTGTCACTGTACCTACACAACTGCTCCCTGCAGGGCATCCTTGCCTTCCCTCCTTGCTTGCATCATCTGGGAACAGCTACAGCAGCAGGAGAGAATACCAGGTAGCAGAGGACACCAGGTTGGATGGGGGGAGGGAGGAAAGCAAGGCTAACTAACTCTCTCTGCTCAAAGTAGTTTGCTGTAATACATATCCATCCACCAACCAGACATGTCCTTATATGGGTTTTTTTCCCTAGTGGTATGAGGAATTCTTTTTTTTTTTTTCCTGAAAATACTTTATTACTAGGCCATATTAGGAGATACAGTAGAATGCCAGACTACCACACTAAGTAGGACTGGCCTCTGTGTGGTTATGAAAACGTACTGTTTAGTGATTGATCGCTACCTATAATGCAACTGTTATCTCTGCATTTTCCTGTAACAACAGAAGTGTAGCAAAGCTTTTGTAATTTTAATCGTTGTATTGAGAGCTGAATTTACAGCAGTGGATCACTACAGAAGTATGCAGCAGTTACAGTGACAGCATAACATCAGATGCCCACTTCTGTGCAGCAACTCTCCTCCCATTATGAAGGGGCTAAAAGGTACATTTGCCCATAGCCAGCAATTACATTTTAAAGTACTGTGCTAACATATAAGGGAATTTAAAGAGGTATTTTTTCAAGTTTTCATAAATAGCATGAGATTTCCTGATCAAAAAGGAGCAGGAACTTTAAGCGAAGGAAAGAAACTGCACTGCAGAAAAAATATGCAGTTGACTGGAAGTGCAGTTGTTCAGCATCCTACTGTAATGTGTCAAATGTATTGTTTAAATGAAAAGCATTCTAAGTCATGCAAATGCCAAAAATTTTTAGAGTTCTTAATTTCTTCTCTCAAATATTCTCAAATGCTAAGAAAATTTATTTTAACTGTTTCAAATATATACAAAATAAATGATAAAAGAGAGCTAGTATATACAAGCATGCATGAAATTGTCAGTGCAAAATATTTGAAATAGGCATTTATCAAAAACTTACAATTGTACTAAGACACATTAATGTACTCTGTAACCTAGGAAGCTACCTCACCTTGGATGGACTAAAAAAGTGATATCACCAAAGTCATACTGTACCTTGGTACCACAGGAATTTTTCTATTGTCTCAAGTAGAATTTTATAAAAAAATTAATGCAGTATTATGGATCATAACTCTGTCTTCTTTATCAATGCATAATTTCCATTTGCATGAATAACAGTTATAGAAACATATCAAGAGAATACTTAAAAAAAATCAAAACACAGTACAGTATGGGCAATTTTTTTCTTTCTTTTGACATGTACAAAGAAAAAGGTAGGTATTGTCCTAGCTAATCTTGTCTTGCCCACTGGAAGTCATATTGTCTTGACAAACAAAATGATACGTTATCTATGATTACAATGACAGGGTCCTATTCAAGTAAAAGTTCGCAACAGAAGTCTACTTATTTCCCTAGAGCCTTTGTTTTACCTGATGATTGGCCCATCAGATTTTGAGCTTCTTCGGAGGAATGTAAGGGCAGCTTTTCTCCTGAAGAGCAAAGAAGAAAGAGTTTTAATGCTTTTGCCTTCAAGGAGATAAGCAATGTCACTTCAACTAGGAAGCTCAAAATATGATGGACAAAATGGCAGCAACCAACTGGCACTTTTGACCATTGAGTGAAATGAAGATAATGTAAGTATTCTAATTCCCTCCACTATATCTGCCACCCTTATCTACAGTGAAAAATTTACACTGCAATATTTGTTTTGTCAATAAAGTTTATGAGACAAACAGCATTAGCTACAAGTCTGATTGTCCTTGTTTTTAATACACTTCTACAAAAAGAGAGATAACTCCCAAGAACCACACTTAATCCCCACCACATTTCATGAAGCACAGTCTAGTTCACATACAGTAGTACTCTGACATCAATATTCTAACACTTCTTTGTGCTTATGAAAAGTACATCCCAGACAGCGATACACAGGAAGAACTGAAAGGAATTTACAAAGCCTTTGCTGGCTTTCAATCTTCAGACAAAGCTTAACGAATGAAGCATTGTCAAAATGTATGGATGTCTCGCAATGAATAATATCAGCTTGTCGTCATGAATAACAACTCCTCTGTGCTAGAAAGGGCCAAGGAGCATTGGGTTTTGTATCAAGTTTGATTCACGTCTGCTTAAATAGCTCGCAAAGCAGGAAGCTGATAAAATGGCTTCTCAAAAGCAGGTAGGTGGGACAAGCACTGTTAACACAAGGAACTGGACTATAAGAAAAAATGGAAACATTAAACTAGTCTCTTAGTTAACTTTTCACCAATGACATTTGCAACTTCCATTTACTTGTCCTATTTATTTCCATTAAATAAAACAAGTTTAGAAAGAGAGAGAAACTCTACAGGTAAGAAGAGAAGGAAATCTGTAAAGGGCATCTGGGTACGTACCAGGGAAAGCGGGGGTGGTCTGTCCAAGGGGAGTAAAAGGGGTTTGCTGCATAGCCAACTGGTGGAGCTTGGTCAACTGCTGAGGGGGTAGGAGGGACATTAGAACTAAGAAGGTTATTGTTATAGAGTACAACAAGTCACACCAAAAAAATTAAGAACAAAATTATAATAAAAAAAACAGGAAGCCATGTTAAGACATGGCAAACACAACATTAACAGAAGGACTTGGCCTGGGTAAATACAGTAAGCCCAAATCTTTAGCAGAAGTGCTTGATCAGGGTCTGAAGTACAATACCAGCAGCAAGCCCAATTTTGATCTCTGTCTAACTGAAATTACTTAACTCCATCACTACAGATCTCTTCTGATCCCACAGGCACACAAATAGCATAGCCAGCACTGACAAAACTAGGAGATACTAATGCTGGTATGAAGGTGCCAATGCAAACTAGTTCTAGTTGCATCTTGGCTTCTCAGGCTTTGTAACTGACTACAACTGCCTACTATGAGCTTAGAATAGATATACAATATCTGAGCTGTGTCCAGTCTGCTGCCAGGTCCAGGATGGTCAAATTCCAATATTTAAGAAATCCTTTTAAGTTCCTGGAATAACTGTAAGAAACATGCAATGACTGACCATTCTATTTCATTACCCAGTGGATGTGACCTTCACTTTACTTGTATACAGTACATTTTGAGGGAAATTTATCTGGCAGGCAAACCAACTGTAGGTCTTAAAGTAGGCTTTTTAAAAAATATTTTATACAAGCTATCTAGCAGCTTGGCAAAATATGGGCTTCAGCCAACACAGGTAAGTATTTCAGATCCTGCATATCCCTTGTTGTGCTCGGAGTCTTTTCACGGCCCCTTCATAAACAGATCTCACGAAGAAGAATGCTATTGGAATACATTTTGTGCTCAATCTCTTCTATTGTTCCAAATTCAAAATTAACGAAGTAGAAATTTCCATCCTACTAAGGCCACTTTCAAGATTTTGCTGTGTATGGAGGAGGGAACATCATGTGTCACATGCCCCTCGGAGACCTTACAGTGCTTTGGTGACCTTAAAGGTTTACAGAATCATAGAAATCAGAAATGGAAAAAAAAACCTGATAGACCAATTAATCCAGCCCCCCTGCGAGGCATAGGGAGGGAGTTATTTTAATTTTTAAGTGAAATAACATTTGAAAAAAACTCCTTACTCCTGCAGCACATCTGAGGGAGGGCGTGCAGGGAAGTCTGATATTAGCAATGGGAAGGGTGAAGCACTGGCGGCAGAAGAGTTGGGAAGCTGAAGAAAACAAGTAGGGAGGTGGAAAGGGAATCTTAGAAATGGTATATTTCTGTCAGCTACCAGGGAGTTGGCAGGCAAAACATCAGCAGCACTTGGCATGCAAACTTTGGCAACTTTTTAAAACAAACTGGCAGAAAAGAGAAGGTCAAATATGAATATTCCACAAGTCGGAGTTTCCATCGGCTATTCTACCCAATCAAAAAGCACTGAAAGCACCACTTACTAAACATCTCTTCAAGGTTTCACTTATCTAGGGGGAGGAGTATCATTTTGCAAGGAGTTTTGTGTACAAATCTCTACCTATCAAAATAAGAATAAACCCTAGTATCATACACAACAGGATTCCATCAAAACAACGTGGAAAACAAGGTCTACGATATGTTATTCTCCTAGGCATGGCAACAATAAGTTAAATAAAAATAATATAATTATGAAAAGAAGAATTTTCCTCCCTCACACTAAAATGAAAACCAAAATGCTTTCTTTAGGCTTGTTTTAAAGTTAAAAATATAATTTTCAGTGATTCTGTAGCAATTACATTTTTCTTTTAAAATTAGTGTCTATATGCTGAATACTCACTGTGATCCCAAACGTCTACTGACAGTTACTGTGCAGTACCTTACAAGATCCACTTCTTCACTACTGTCATTGCCAGACTAGCTTCTCCCAGCATTCTTAGCTCACATGATATGAGTCTCACTTACTGCTACTGGGATTGAGAAATGGAAGCTGAAATAAATAACTTGGGAAGCTCAGACCACTCAATCAAACTGCTCTTTATCTGGACAGTCCTTATATACCCATGAAGGAACATTGTTTCATCCAAAGGAATGACTTCAGGGACTAGGGACATTATAGCCACTTGGGGCAGAGGGAAATAATGAACTCTTTTCTGTTTATTACTAATTTAGATTATTTTAAGAAATATTCTTAAAACAGAGAAATATTCTTAAAACAGACTTTTAACAAATGCATACTATAACATGAAAAAACCTCAAAAGGAACATGAACTTCATACTGAGGCATTAGGTTAAAGTTGCTAAAACCAATGCCTCAACTGTCTAAAACATATCTGGTGTGTCTAATTTGTGTACGCTGATGGGCTGGAGGGAGCTATACAAAGTTCTAGGATGTAGCATTTATTCGGACATATATTAGGTACAGAGGTGCCATGATCAGAGAGCACTAGTTTTTATCAGTAAGCAGTTGTGCAGAATAACGGTAGCCATCAACAAAGTTTCTGTGTATGCCTTACTAATGAACAATTGGCAAAGTGGTACATGGCTCAACATATATAATATTAGGTTCCATCAAACTGCACAATTTCCTACGCTCTTCATATGACTGTTTCTCACCCAAATACTCATGAGATTCCTCATCACTGCCAGCTGCCTTCCCTTCTCCCACTGCAGATTTCAAATGAAAACTTGTCTAGATGTTAACATATCTCAACCTGCAGATAAACACACAGGAGCAAACTTGTCCTAAGAGTCAACACTCCCATTGACTTGAGTGAGAGATTTAGCTGAATGAAAAGTTAGAAAATAATTTAAGATTTTACCCCAAGTACTTGAATTAATTTTCATTCCTTTAGCTTACTTTCAGATTTCCAGAACTTTTATTTTGTTTAGGAGTCTCTAAAAAAGAAGAGGTTCAAATATACAAATATCTGTTGTAGAAGACAAACATAGAAAATGTTCTGTCATATTCTATTAATTCAATTGTTCAACACTGTTTTAATGAACAGAACTTTGCAAGAGAGAGAATTATACAGCCAAAGCATGCAGTCTTCTTTCAGGCAACAAATAAACACATTTTTCAAAATAAAGCCAAAGTATAATGAACCAGAACCCAATATTCTTTTTCTAACACTGACCAGCAAATAAATATTCCTACAGTACAGCATATCATAACATGTTTTATTCCTGTAAGAAAGAGAAGCAGCATACTAAGAAGCAACACAGTACAAATGAATGCTGGGATTTTTTAAGAAGGAAAATTAGAAGAAAGAGTAAATTTGTCTGACTAAAAAGAATATATCACATTTTTATTTACAGTCTACTTAAGAGAGAAATTGAAATGAATGAAGCAAAAAACAGGAAATGTTATGCCAAACTGTCTAAAATGTGTACACTGAAAAATTATGGCTTACACTGTGCTGTCTGTTACACTTGATAAATATAGCACCTCTAAAAATTGCCTTAGCTACATTAAATGCCACTGTTATTGGTTTGCATGAATATTGTAGGAGCTGTGGATTTGTGACACCTATGGTTTGTGTTTGTAAGTCCCCATATTTTCTCACATACCACATACCCCCAAATAAGACACACTCCTTCTTTAGGGACGGCAGAATGAAGAAATAAAGATTTTTCCAAATGAAGGGATCTTGACCACATGGCTGAATACTGACCATCTCTGCTCAGACAAAAGCTGCTGCAAATTCCGCACCAGTTATGAAAGAGCTAAAGCTACAATGCTGAAGAATGTACTCTGCCCCTCCCTTCCTAGATGGCAAAAAAGGAGAGCCCAGAGAAGCCATTACAGCATCCCCATTCACCCGTTACAATGTCCCTGTGCTTCAATTCTAGTGCAGAAATCAGTTTCCCAGCTTAACACATGGACCCCAGTCTTGGAGGGCTGGATTCTGGGGAAACAGGATGTGTGGCATGCGAGTAAATATAATATTGTGCAAATAGCAATCATGTATTTAAATCATCTTATCCCTCAAAAATACAAATATTAAACCATAGTGATTCTTTAACAACATGAGATTCACACTAGAGACTTTCAATATAAGGCCATACAACATGCAATGGTGGCTATTAAGTCTAAGATTTTCAGAGGGACGTGAGGAAGTTAGGAGCCTGAATCTCACTAAAGGTTACTGACAGCTGGGTGTCAAACTCCTTTCACAGTTCTGTTGAAAACTCCAGCATTTCCACAATTGCCAACAGTTACCATCTACTGAATATGAAGAGATTTCTGTAATTTATCCCTCTATTTAACTGAGAGTTAATTGTGTTATATGCTGGTTTCTTAATGGCATCTGTTATATAAATAATATAATGCACTGCAAGCCCATATCACAGGGATGGGATGACCAGTTCAGAAGGTTACATCCCCTAGGGTTGTATGGTGATGGTATAAAAAGATGTGAAGCACACATGCAAGGGGACAGATATGAGAATTCCCAGGAAACCTTAACCCTGACTTTTCCGAGTCAGAGCCTTAGCCCACTGGAATTATGCCAATTTATATTTGGCCTTCTAACATATATGCAATTGAAATCTCCACCTTCTCATTACAGTAAAGTATGCTTTTGGTTTTACTACTTGGCAGCTTTTTAAAGATAAATTTGTATTTTTTCTATTTCTAAGTATTTTACTGAAATATGAAGCAGTGTTTATTTACATACTTTCTTCTTAAAAAAAAGATATTCTTTTAATGACCAGCTTCACTCCAAAATAAATATAAACAGTTAACAAATGTGAATTTTGGCATGAATGGCTAAAAATTGCAAAGACATTAGTCTTTGCAATATGGATAGTAGAAACTACCAAAATCCCATGTGAAATGAATATCAGTCAAATACAATACTTTTTTCATTTGTAATGAATCTACTCCAACAGGAGAGTGTATCAAAGCTGTTATCAAACAAAAGGACAATTTGGTATTTAATCAATGCCAGAAGTCAATAAGCACTAGCTGGGTACACAAAGGGTGCATCTACATGAGACGTTTACTGTGGAGTTACCTAATTAGCTCTGCAGTAAAGTCTGAGCAT